TAAATAAACGCAACAGCAGCAATGCATACATCATATCAGCCACATAAACTCATCTGTCTAAATCACTAAGAAGCTACCCTCTTTCTGGTTTTTAGTGGGGTTTAAATGCAACCTCAACTTTTAAAATTTTATTCAGTTAAACTGTAGCAGACCCTAATGCACATGTCAAACTTACTCATGATATCACATCGAATCTTCCAGTCTGATCTTCAGTCCATGGTGCTTGTATTATTAAGTGGGATGTCATTTAGTCACAGGAGTCATTAACAAAACTTCTCCTGTTCACAGCATTGCTCACTTCAGATGCCTTCCAGTCACAGCTCATGTACTAGTCTGATTCGGATCAGTTCTATTAGTCACACCAGAGGTCACAGCTGTGAAAAAATGTAATCAGATTTTGTTTTCTTGTATTCAACCCTAGAGCACCCTCCAATGGGCCTTTTTCAGATTGCAACTTTGGAATACTAAGCACCAAGCTTGCATGGAGGATAGTGCAAAAATGAAAAGCACAACACTTGCATAAGACTTTGAACCCTACAGATTGTTTTGTACATATTTTGGTTCTTAATTGATTTTATTCTGCTTATTCATGTTTATTTGGTGATAGCACAATTCTGCAATCACAATTTTTCTAAATCTACAGTATAAGATTTGAAAATGTTGGTAACTTGAATTTCTTCTATGAAATGTGTCTTAAAGTAATTAAATAACAAATCTTTCGAATGGCTAAACCGTAGCTTGCTGCAACCAAGCCTGGCTTTAGCTTTCAATGCCAGTTGAAAAAAAACTGCTTTCAACAAAACAGACATTTTGAAACCCTGAAGCAACTAAATGAAATTCATTTAGCTGCTTATTATTGCTAATTTTATTATTTTTACCTTTGATTTTCCTGCACTAACACGTATAAGGGCCAAATATGTGGCAAAACCAACGATTAATATATTCAAAAAAAATCTAAAATGTCTTTTCTATATTTTAATAGTCTCTAACCTTATTTCAAACTCAAACTTATACTCAAAGTTTGAGTCTCTAACCTTGTTTAAGATAGAGTATAAAGTAAAAAAAAAACCAAATGAATCTTACATTTTGTTGAGTACGTAAAACTGCCTTGTCCATGACTTTCAATGCACAAACATCTCCAGTGGCCTTCTCTCGGACTACCTGGACTTCAGCAAAGTGACCACGACCCACCACAGCACGCAGTTCAAAGTCATGAACCCCAGGTTGCAACATCTGCAGCTCTGAGACCACTTCAGAAACTGGTCCACAAAATGCAAACAAACTGTCAGTCTGGCAGGTACAGAGAATAATCCAAAATACACACAACAATAATAATCAACAAATGTAACTGGAAAAATTCTGACAGTGCTAAAAGTAACAACAACAAACAAAGAAACCCTTCACATGTGTGAAATGTATGCTTACACTTGTTGACAAAGTTTGCCACATTAGGTATCATCATAAGCTCTGGGGAGGTGCACTCTTGGTAGAGTAGCAGCAGAGCTTCCAGAAGCTCTTCCCGACCCAAACTGCATCTTCCCTGATGTCCACACAGTTTGGCGCGTCCCTGGGGAATATACAAGCACAGGAAAGGGAAGTCCAGCAACTGCAGTTTTCTTCACACTGTGCAAAGTGTTTGAGACAATGCGCATTTATGTGACACATCTTTACCTGAAACAACTGGTTGAGCCGCGAGGTCCGACTGGTAATGGGGTCCGCCGAAGACGGCAGCGTTTTCAGGTTTCCCTGACTTACGTATTTGAACTTCAGCATGGCTTCTTAACAAACACCCTGGACAAATGAGACACATTTGTTCAAGTGAATAAACGTTTCTACTTAAGGTAAACACGTTATCTGTTTAAAATGTCTACAGCCTCAGTACGAAGTTATAAAGGGGTCCAGAAAAACAGAGGGCGTCTAATGTCAACAACGAGGCTGGCTAACGTTTGTTTGCTAACTTCCCTAACATACGCAAGCAAAGACCGTTAAAGCGACAAACACACATGAGAGTACCCAGGAGATTACTCACCAGACTGCCATACAGCTAGTTATAATGTTCCTTTTAATACGTACAATACATCGATAGGTGAAAAGAAACGCTATATTTCTCTAGATCAACGTTGTTTCCGGTTAACGTTCAAATTTTGCGCGTCCCCTGCCCACCGCTCATGCCTGCTGAATGAAGGTCACATATGATTGGATGCTTATATTTTTATGGGTGGGTCTTGTTGTTGCTTTTAACCAATGGTCAAAGACTTACTGACATACTCAGCCCCTTTCGTCACTTAACTAAGAAGTGCAGAACATATTACTATAAATTCTAAATAATTATTAACAGAAGTTATGAGCATAGCAATATGCGTATTATTAGAAGATAGGGGTACAAAAGTGTTGACTGGAGAGATCTTCACAGTCACTGGTCACATTTGTGAGCAATATTAGTTTATGTGTTCGTAAATTACCTTATCACCTGATTGTTTACTGGTTATGCAATGGAATATTTAATCTCATTACACTGTCATAGCAACAGCAGACAGGAATAAATCAGGAAATACTATATTATTTGGTCTTATTAACACTGTATAAGTATTTGATCTCAGAATCTGTGCAAAGACCAGCACTATATGGACAGATCAGTAAAATCAGCAAACCATCTGCATACATAAGGTGGTTAATGAGAACTTTACCAACCATACTCCCTGTTCCACATCAGTTTACCTGCACTGATAGATTACATGTTTAAAAAAGAAAAGAGCTAAAACAACACCTGTGGAAGCCCATTATTCTTGTGGAAATGAACAGCTAGTCCCTCCTTTTACGCACACCACTTGATGTGCATACCAGATACAAGGATTGTTACTAGAAATCTACAGGAACCTCTATTACAGTAGTCACAATCTGTAAAAGAGTTTTCATGATTTATACAGTCAAAAGCAATAGAGGCATCAATAAAAAATTATGCCATTTTTCCGTTTGGCCTGTGTATTTATCAAAAAAAATCCTTTAAGCCAAAACTACATATCAGTGCCATGTCAGCCAAGTTGACTGTCAGTAGTAAAGATGTACTGTTCTAGCCTGTTCAGAGTTCTCAGGGCTCTGGATAAAATGTTAGCTAAGGCTATTATAGGTCTATAATTGTCCAAACTATTTAGTTTGTCAGCTTTATGTTTGAGGTACTAGTAAAAAAGTTTAAATAGAGCCAGGTAGAATACTATAGACTAAAAACACAGTAAAACAAATAGAAAGAAAAAGGCTTAACAAGCTTTAAATCTTCAACAGTTATATCATCCATACCACATGCCCTTCTGTCTCCTAGCTTCATAGCTACAGTGTGGGTCTTGTGGAGTAACAGCCAGTTTCATTATCTACATTGCCCACCATAAATATACCACATTTGAACAGATCGTAATTATGTTTCTGTCATAACTGGTGTTAGGTATTTTTAGTCAGATAGAAATTGGATAGATACTTTATGTATTAGAAATGTTTAGTGGAGATAGGATGTCTAGTTAGACTGTTAAATGCTTAGGCCTGCTTATGAGTTTCTACAGGGAACATCTGGTCAAGGATAACTAGAGAGAAATGTTGATGACTGTCAGCAGACAGGGTGTTTAATATTATTATTATGACGTGTATAACTGTAGCCTTAGCCATAATATGTTCTTATGTTTAATATCATGACATGTTACTAGAGGTCGTGTGAGAATGTTTTTAACTACACACCACTTAATCAACAGACACACACACATGCACATTGATTTGCTTCATGTTTTGACTACTGCTATGACCAGCTGCAAAGCTGGTAACAGAGACGTCTCGGTTGACGTTTCTGTGTAGTATGGGGCTAGCACAACCAAGGTGATATAATGTATAGGCCTGTTGTGGTTCAGGGGCTTTCATCTTACATCTGCCTGCGAGCAGTTTGGAGGTGCAAGATACCTGAGCGTGTAATGTTAATTTTACCTGTGATCCTTTGAATAAATCAGCACTGTTTTGAAGTTACTCGGACTGCCTCGTCTCTCAGAGTTAGCAATGGTAACAAGAGCCATAGTCCTACACTGGGAAATTTTATCTGATATATTTGATGGTGGAAATGTTTCACAGTTTTACAGTTATTCATAACTCTGATTTCTTCAGTAAGCTATTTATTGTATCTTTTATTTTAAATTTATCCTATTTTAAAGTAAAAATACAAAGAACTGCCAGAATAAAAGAAGTATGATCTCTAGGGTCAAGCTCAGAAAAATTGGATCTAACCATGGCCCAATTCATAGCAAAGACTTTATGAATTTGTGGTCTCAAGATCAAGCCAAGCTACTCTTGATGATGTCATCGGGGTTATTTTTGCAGACTTCAGAGCACTCCTCCACAGCCACAGGAGACATTATGCAACTTTTTCACAGCCTGAGTAGTAGGATACTCGTCATGAGAAGTGAAAAGACTTTTATATTTAAAATCACTGAAGTGCTCCCTAAATCACCGAAATTGTTTTGCTACTGTTATCCAGTTTAAATTAGGAATATTGCTCCTAATTTGCTTCTTCGAACCTTGCACAATAGAAAGTCACTTTTGGCTTTTTCCTGTTTTTAGGAGTCGCCACAGCAAATCGTCACACTGACGACTCACATGTTGACATTTGGCACATGTTTTACACCAGATGCCCTTCCTGACACAACCCTGATTTGAACCCGGGCCACAGCGGCGAGAGCTCTGCGCCTTAACCACTAGCCTACCAGGGACTCTTAGACACTTGCACAATAATACTCTAAATATCACACAGTCCTAGTATCTCTTTAATATGCAATGGCTTGCAGATTACTATAATCAGGGCCAAAACATTTATTTCCAGCAGAGGTACATGTTTTATATTGTCAGTTCCAGTTTACCAAAACTGAATGGTCAGATAGCCCAAACTAACAGGGGTGAGGTGGAGAGACCTAGGACTGGCTGGTTGTCTTCTGCTTGTTCCATTAGCAGTAGGAGTATCTGGAGGTGTGGCATTAAGATTGGGGGTGAGTTAGAGGTTTAGGATTAGGACTGGGTTTGGGATTAGGAGTTGTAGGGGTAGGGGCAACATAACACCCTTTTTTGTGCCAATGCATGTCCTTCACACGTCGGACAGACTGGATCTGAGGTGCAGCAGCTCCCCAATCATTCCAGTGCCTGAAGTCTCCACGCTCAAACACAAACTGACTCCCTCTGTAGCCTGGATACATGTATCCCACCCACCTTCACAGGGAAGAGAAAGTCGGTCACAATTACGGGAACAACCTATACATACCTATTCATTTACTATAAAAGAACAAATTAGTTCTAAGTTCATCTAATATAAATAAAACGTATCATTGGGAAGGTTAGCGCTTACACTCCACTGATAGCCTTAGCACTGGCCACACGGCCATGGAAACCATGAGCACACAAACTGGGGACATCATCACCACCAATCTCCATCTTTCTGCCTTCAAAGCCTGCATTCTCAAACAGGTGCAACTTGTGATCTGCACTGTCCTGGAGAGAAAAACAACTGATTTTAACATTTCTGAAGTTCCATCTAAAATTACACTGATAATACTAACCATTTTCAGAGGCCTGAAGGAGCTCAGTCGGTAGCTGTGGTGGCAGTTGGTCCAGGTGCTCCAGCGAGGATACTCTCCTTTCTCAAGCACAAACTGCTCTCCTGCAAAGCCTGGACGCTCAAACCCCACCCATCTGAAGACATGGAGGATGCAACGGGTGCAACTTGAAAACAGAATGTAGATGCAGTAAAAACTGATGAGACTTGATGACAAGAAACTGAACCACTCACGGTCCTGACTCCACAATGACTGAGCCAACTCGTGTCTTCTCCGGCACATCTTCACATTCAGCAGACAACTCCACTTTTGTTCCACAAAAATTCTCAGACTCAAAAATCACCAACTGCAAAACAGGAACAGTTGGGGAATTGATGGTGTGATCAGCAAAATCCCAGTTCCATGGTAATTCTGACTTTTTCATTTCAATCCATGGACTTTTTTCTGTGAACACGATGTGTGAAGTCAAGACAAAAGTTGCTCTTATACCTTATATATAGCTCCAGTCTCTCCTTGGCCTTTATCAGCAGGCAGTTGGTCTGGGGACCCCTGTTGTTCTTTCATTTTCACTCTACCAAGCACAACAGTTACATTAATGGAGTGATTATGCAGATTTTCTATCATTTTGTAGTTTCCTGCAACACAGGAAGAATCACCTAACTTTAAAACCCTGTCATACCTTTAAACACATTAAATACGTTTCTTGATCATCTAACTATTAAAAATCAAACATATCAGCAAGATACAGTATTTGCATATTTTATTGTGCTCAAATTCTAGCTGTGCCAGCTGCATATGTAGAAATTAGACATCAACGGTGCACACACACACAAAATGCTACTTACTGTAAGACAGAGCCATCTGGCTGCAGATAGAAAAGGGGATAAGGAGAGAGTAAAAAAGAAAGGCCTGTCAACCTGTTTTTACCTGGATGACTTGTAGTTCAAGTGCAAGCTACACTGTGGCTTTTGTCGTTCCTTTCTGTCTCAGAGTGACTGTGTATGTGGGTGCGGAGGCCTGGCGAGTGGTCGGCGGCAGCCAGCGGGGGTATTTATGGTTTATTTCTGACCACAGCAGCAAAAAGCCTGTTGATGCAGCAAGTCTGTTGCACCCATTGTGTCCATCACACTGTTTCTCAATAGGCTTGCCCCTCTGTTCCTGGCACAGTGGCAAACACTGCCCAGCTCTGCCCATGAGCCATCCTATAGTGGGCACGCACACTTATTGCCAGCTAAGAGAATGAACAGAGATCAGTCTCACTCAGCACTATTGGCCCCAACCAGCTAGGTTGCTCTCTATTTTCCTGTCTTCTGCCTCTTTCTTTACACTTCTCTTCATCCAGTGCCCAATAAGCTGCATTCTTGCTTTCTTATGAAGCCATCCATCCAGTAATAATAGTATTTTTCATGTTTGGATCTAGGAGCATAAAAGGCTGCTTGTAAAACATGAGTAAGACTATGTTTTAAATATTTCCAAATTAAAGCCAACCTGTAGGCATGTGACTATCTTATCTTTAACAATATGCTGGGCAATTAAAAAAACAAACTCGGTTGCATTTATTAAAAAAAACTTTAATGAAATTCCCTCAATTTCCTCTTATTACATAGCATGTTGATCACACATGATTACAGCATTGATGAGTCATTCATTAACATTAAACAGGCAGATGAACTGATTTTAGAGTTCAAGATTTTACTCAACACCCTTCCCGATTACGTTACAGCATTCCTAAAGCTTACTGCAAATGTTGTGACCAGCTACTGAGTTATTTGATAGAACCAGGAAGGGCATCTGTACATTTTGTGGAAGCCTACTTTGATGAGAAGAATCATTCATGGCGTTACAAAAAGATTCCCTTGACCCTGTTACTACAGTTAGCCACTTGATTATTCTATTACATACAGTACATGCTCTGTTTGGATGGTAGATTATTATTTCTTAAAGTGCTTGGTAGGTTTCTTGAGACAATCTGTGATTGGTAACATAATATAAAACTCACTTTGTACAATTTAAAGTAATTACACACAAGGTGCAATCCACATATTATATTCAGTACTTCCTGTATTTACAGTGTATGTATGTGTGTTTGTGTGAAGGCAGAAACCTTGCTGAACACCCAGTGTCATCAGTCCCTGTCAGTATATGATGGCTTTACACATCCAAACAATCAGACAGTTTATGGCTTTGCTCTAAATTACACTGAAGTCTTAACCTGCCTTGAGCCTTTGTACAATAGTCGATAAAACATGTGCTTGGCATTAACACAACGCGGTCTTGGCACACAGCCTTGGCATCATATTTCATTTACAAGATGAAAGGTTCTTGATGGCCTCTTGCATATTTCAGTAAAGGTCCAAAATAAGGCACTTAAAGTGCAAAATGGAGCAGTCATGGCAAGGCGTCTGTCAGCAGCAGCGGCAGCAGAGATGGACAGATTCTTTCTCAACAGTAATGATGCAATGTCTCCTAAAGGAAACAAAATATACAGAAAAAGTTTCAAACCACAGAAGATATTTATGTAATATATTTAGCATTCATCTCACATAATGTCTGTTGGTTAGGTTTATCTGAAGTGCATTCATTTTTAGCACAGGAGGCCCAAGTGGCACTTAAACCCCTAAAACTATGCTCTTTCTTCACAAAGCTATACATAACCAGATTACTTAAGTCAAGAGCAAAATGTGGCTGCAAGCAGCAATTCCACAGGCAAATAAGAAGACTGTCAAGCAGAGGTACAACAAGGACATCTTTACCCAGTGTGCAGTTCTGATCATGATAAAAGAAAAGGTCAGAGATAATGGCCCACTTCCTGTTTTTGTCTTTGCTGTCAGTTTAATCATTGTCTGCACGAGTATTGCCACAAAATTCAAACCATTATCGCAAACCTTTTCAGCTGTTTGCATTATGACTCAGAAGCTAATTAGTCCCTTAAAATAAATGCTTTCACTCCTACAGTAATCCAGGGTATAAGCCAAATGTCAAAATTTTCATGCTCAGTGCGCCTTGATGGCTGATCCTGTTAAGTCTTATAATGCTCTACATATACAAGCATTTCAAGGTTATGTAAAGTTCTAATGTCACTAAAAAAAGGTGCTAGAAAGTTGTTTAAAAGATGCCCTTTCACCACTGCCATCTTTATGTGAGATAAAGCTTTGTCTCTGACAAACACAGAACTTTGTAACAGTCAGAAAAAATGATACATAAAAAAGTTTTAAGCGTTATAAATGTGCAAAAATGTGCGTAGATGTCAGGACAATAACAATAGGTGCTCGACCACCTATTAATTATTGTAAACCACAGTAAAAGTCTGCAGCAAAAAACATTTGTATGGCAAAATGTTATCATTTTTTAAACTTTATATTTTATTATGCAGCAAAGAATCTGTGTCACTGCTATTTTAATTATCACCTAATCCGTATTACTCACCTGTGTCAGGCTAAGCCTGACTGCCATGCTGACTAAGACGCTTCTTAGACTTGAGTTCTTTCAGCCAAGCAGGAGAGGAGGTGGCACTGAATCATACACAGAATCACAGTTCAGAATTAAAATACATGCCAAAATTTTAATAATATTTTCATCACTGCTATGATATGGGTGTTTTTCAAGTGTGCTGACTGCGTACCCTCCGTCAGTGCCGCCTATGGGTGGCAGCACCCGTGCGGCCCCTGCAAGATGAGCAGGAGAGCGTGGAGAGCGGGAGAGTTGGGAGGGAGACGGTGGTATTTCTTCATACTGCCTTTCTTTCTCTTGTCTTCTCTGGTCTTCTTCTGTTGCCCCATCTTCTCTAGCTCCTCCTCCTCCTGTTCTTTTTTTTATTTGAGCCTTGGGGAGCAAGTCAAGTACACTTTATTCAGTCATGTCGTATAAGTAAAATCTAGGAAACATATTATATTTAAACTTACAAGCAGGGCTACAGGGCTTAGGCCAGGAAACACAGGGACCCTCTGAGAGGTAGGAGGAGAACGGGCCATCTTTGCTTTTGGCTGCTCCTCCTCAGAGTCTGAATCTCTTTGCTTGGAAACTATCTCCTTTTCATCTAAAAACAGTTAAGAGTCAGAACCACAGTAAATCAAAACTAGGAGAATGCTTGTCCCTTGGATTGTTTGTGTTTGTTGGAAATATTGCTTGTTTACTCTGAATTAAAAGAATCACTGAGCTCCAAGGAGAGGCTGTAATGACCTGTGGAATCATGGACCCTCCAGTCCAGGCTTCCCATCTCAGATGACCGTGTATGGGGTCGGCGTGTTGGACGAGCTCGACTTCGCGTCCTACCCAGATTTGCCTTGGATCTCTGTGCGCTGGTATCAAGGAGAGGAGCATAGCTCTGTGCACAGACACACACACACACAGACTAATAAGCAACAGACAGAACACGCTGGACAGCACTTACCTGTGTGTACTAATGCACCACCACACTGCAACAATACAGATGCAACAGCTCATAGTTGCCCAGGTGTGTATGTAACGAAAGGTTTGTGGTATATGACCCAGAAATTTCACCATTCATAAAGCGGGAAGGTTTAGAAATAAATGTCACCAACCTCTGGGAATGGAGCCAACTCTTGCTCTCTTTGAGACTCAGCTGAATCAATGTCTTGAGAAGGGAAATCAGGAGCAGGGACAAGGTTTGGACTGTAGAGAAAAAAAAAAGATTCAGAATCATGTGTGAACACAGTCTGAGAAGAGATGGCAAGTGCATTGTTGAGATTCTTTCGGTTATATTTTTTTCAGCAATTTTAGTCAGGAGTTCTACTCCTCTGGGTTTGTGGCTCGTGCTCTATTAACCACAAGAGGGCACAGGGAGCTCAACATGGATTTAATGTGCAGCTGCACTTGTTGACGGTGTCACAGGTTTTATGATTCAAAAAGTGGAGCTCTTTCATTAAATTTCATCGTTATTATTACACATGCATTTAAACAACAATCCAAACGGAGAAAGAACTTTGGTTTCACAGTCAGGTTAGGTTGGTTCCAGTATGCCACTGAAACCAGAGCTAAACCTGAGCCTCCACCCTGAAACGCCAGGCTACTTATTTTAAGATGAAAATGCCACACAGCTATAGGGCTTCTAGTGTATATTTTAAGTCTGCTCAGTGTGACTCATATCACCTCAGTGTGAAGCCACACCTTCAGCACAAGATACAAAGGAGGACACTTAAACCTGTCCAGTCCTGTTTGTCTCCATCAAGGTAGATGAAGGAAGTAAAGCCACTTAAAGATACAACATGGATGTCAGCCTGTAGTCCACAGTATGCAGGGTTTGTACTGTGTTATAGTGCAACCTCCATCCTACCTGTCAGTGTCAGATGTCTCTTCATAGCCCCCATTCTGCAGGTCTGGCTCACTGTCTATCAAAGCATCAGTGTCTTTGTCATCACCATTTATACAATAACTGTTAATCTGTGCCTGTGAGACAGAAAGACAGACATTGCAATCAACTTGGATGTGAACAAGAAAACATGTACAAATTAACCAGAGAAACTAATAGTCTTTGGACTGTGGGAGGAAGCCGGAGTACCCGGAGAGAACCTGCAAACTCTGCGTGTTTGAGACCAGGGCCAGCCCGGAACCTTTTTGCTGTGAGGCAACAGAGCTAACCATCCCAACACTGGATATTGTGATATATAATTTGCTCAACTTCACTTTCACTTATCTTTGGATCTACTGATGTGTTTATCATATAAAATCCACTACTACTACTACTACTATTACGTTCGGCTGTTCCCGTTAGGGATCGCCACTGCGAATCCAATTCGCATGAGCAATTTGACACGATTTTACGCTGGATGCCCTTCCTGACACAACCCTCTCCACAGCCACCCCTGTGGCTAGATACATAACCACTCCTGGGGGCAATTTAGAGTGTTTATCATATAAAATCAAATGATGTAAATGTTCCTCATTGTTCTGTAAATCTGCATATTATAACTTCACATTGCAGAGCTGAGGCGGGGAGAAAATGGACAGTGTGCTGAGCCAAGATCACTCTCTATGGGGGAGCGAGGACTTCGGATCAGCCGAGCATGTATCTTTTAATGAGCCGGTCACAGAGGCTGAGCTGTCCTCAGTAAACACCATGCATGTACATGCATGCGCACACACACTGCTGCATCTCCGCTCTCCATGGACCCAGCCCCCCCCCCCCCCTCCACGTTACATTGATTTACATTCATTTCCTGGAGACTTAGCATAACTTAACATAAAGATGTTGAGACCCCATAATGTGACTGGAAACAGATTTAGATTTCCACAGCATGAGTAATATCAGGCCACACACGACACGTTACAAACAAAAGCAGCTACTGAGCACCTGCTCCTCATAAACATTCCTTTAGAGTCAAATTGGTTCAAAGGGTACATCCAAGGACTGTGTCATCTGATATTGTCACGTGGACACAAACAACCCTTGAATAAACACCTGTGCTCTGATGATTTCATACACATCTCCTTCACAAGTCCATTCATCACTCAGGACTCACAGAACAGCTTCCTTTGCTTAATGCCTGGTTATCTGGCAGCATCACACCATGAGTGAACAGTTTTCTAAAAATGTTCCTATAATCACACACTGTGTTCAGAGAAAACCAAAGTCTGGTCTAACAGAGACACAGTTGCTCTTACCTTACATTAGTTTTGATCACGTGACTCCCAACACCTCCTTTCCATACTATTCCAAACAGCCTTCCAAAAGAGAGTGCATTAATGCTCTAAAGAATTCCTGTTTGGCAATGGTACAAGTATGCAACAATGAATGAGACAAAGGAGCAAGTGTATATCCTCATTTGCACACTTGACAAAACATTTCTCAAGGCTATGTTTCAGAAAAACAAAAGATTACTCTGCCAGAGAGAAAATGCTGTTTGTATCGCCTGACCACCACTATTTGCAATATTTGGTATTGTAGTTGCTAAAAGTTCTACTGTGTTCACTAGCTAGTCACTATCATCATTTGGTGCTGGGCAGGTAGTCTATACCGGGTGTATCATAGTGTTATTTGATAAAAACATCATCCTGCTCCAGTTAGAAAGAGATGAAGTTGATTTTAAACCCAACCACTAAAGCTGGAAGCTGTAAAACCAAACTACTTTGTAAAGCGGAGGGGAGCTGTGATAAACCCTGTTTGGTTTATCAACATGAGTGGCACCAATCACATGACACAGTCATTTGTGTCAGCTTTAATTTACATGTGTACAGATTCAGAGATAAACACCATGAAAGCTCTTTCAAGGCCGTTGTGTACAGATAAAAGTGACAGATATTCTAAAAAAACAAAAACAAAACACACCTCTGAACTGCGTCAAACCCGTGTATTTGTGAGTGCACCAGTAGAGTATGTGCTCATGAGGGTGGAGGATGTACAAGTCAAGACAGAGTCCTCATTACAGTCTTCAGTCTACAGCTTCATTACAGTTTGCTTCCACCACATTTTTGTCAATGGAATGTGTAAGGGTTATGGTTTTAAGATCTAGTGGAGAGGATAATATTCTGAAGAGGCAACAGGTACAAATAACTGTGACTGAAATCCAGGACAATATGAAGCGAAGACTGTCAGTATAGCATTACCTCTATTAAAGGAAAGAGATGGATCATCAAATTAAGAGTGAAAACAGCCTGCAGTTTATTTATGCTTACAGTCTTTGGACTCACCTACTTTGCCGTATAAGGAAAGAGACTAACACTTGTATATGGTGCGTGCAGGCCACAACCACGGCTAACACTTAAAAAAACTTCAGAGAGCATATCTTACAGTGTAAAGAGAAAACTGCCTCATGAATTGCAAGTGGCACCCAAAAATACATTTGTCTTATCCCAGAAGCAGATGATGCCAAGATATACTGCAAAGATTTAAAGTATACATAATCAAATACACAGTGTGTGTCTGCTATCATGCTCTTTTCGGCAACACAGTCCCTGCAGCCCTACTGGACGAAGTACTGCGTTGATGGCTCTGTCATAATTATGGCTATTACAATTCTTGTGCTTCATCTTGACACCAATTTATTTCCTGTACATATATACTGGAATGCAGATTAACACTCATGATTATGAAAAACTCAGCTGAATTATTCCTATTGATTAAAAAATATATATTAAAATGTAAGAATGTAATTACCTTTTTCTGTGTGAAATTTCCCCTCCAATTGTCAGTAAAATGTTATATGATGTAATGTGCACTATTGCAATCATATATAATAGAAAAAAAAATAGTATTTTCATAAACATTAGTTGCTTAAACCTTGTCTAACTGTGTCACACTTTGTTATAATCCTCTGCATTATCTCTGACACACAGCACAGACAGGGAGCAAAAGGCTATGCATGTACCCTATACTGATAAAACACTACATTAAGACAGCTTTATCAGATAACTGTGTCCTTCCTGAAACTGACTGCCATTGCCTACTGCACTCCTTTTTTACATTTGCATGCTTATCTGTTAACACGTGGGCGTGAAAATATTAGAACACAAGGGAAATGCCATTTTGCTTTGGAGTAAAATGTAAAAATTACCTAAATGTGGGTATTATTTTGATGAATGCAGGCCTTAAAAACTGCTATGTTCATTCATCACTGTACTTAATGGCCATGGAAGCTAGCCAACCAAGCCTTTAAGGGCTAATAATGTAAAAGCTGATTTTCATTAAACGATTCAATCCATTAGTTTTAACCGGGATATGATAAATGCAGAAAATTTCAGAGTATTCCTTGCATCTACTGCATTAATGTATCAGATCTTACAGAGCAGGTTTCAGTGGTTCTCCTCTGTAGAGTCTGGCGACTTCTGAGTGAGAAGCGACGCAGGGATCTCCTGCTACGTCTGGCAAAGCTACGAAGTGGTGACATGGCTCTCTGAAACCTTCCTTGACCATCTCCCCCTTCCTCTTCTCCTTCTTTATCCACATCTCCCTCCTCTTGCTTCTCTTCTGCACTGTCCCACACCAGCTCCAGTGCCCCTTGCAAGGATTGTCGTACGCTGTCCACCCAGCCCGCCACCTGCAGCTGGGCAGCCAACAGTTTCCCTCCCAGGAACTGCATGGTTAAATGGTTCACACAGCACCAGAGAAAGTGAAGTTTATCTTTTTTTGGATGAGTCAAAAAGTGGGGTCTGTGATCTGGCTTTCAGCTGTCATTTTCAGAAAGCAAAAGGTAAACAGATCACAAACTGTCTTTTGTAGAAAGAAGGCTTCTGATGTCATAAATAACAAGATACGGTCTAGCTTTTCTTTAGACAGGATCCATCTTCATATGGTTCAGGTCATACAAAAGTCCTGGAACTGTCTATTATTTCCTATCAGTAAAGAAAGAAATACTCTGGCCAGGCAAGTATTTGTACAGTGACACTATTCCACTACAGCATTCACTATGATGGATGGGACATCCTAAACAGCAGTGTCCCGAGAAGATTTTCCCATTATCACATGATCATCCATTTAAAAGACTGACAGAAGTCTTTATCAAAAACATCCCGTTGTCCAAACTCTCGATTTAAAATTTTTTGCATAGCAGCTTTGAGTCTTGCACACAACAGTTTGGACAGTTACCTCTCTTCATGTGCACCCTCGTTTCCTGAGACTTGTTCTGCCACAGTCAGGCCTGTTCTCTTGTGGCCTTATATCCCTGCTCACATCGTGACTCCATTTTCCATTCAGAAAAATAACAAGGAAAAGCAGCGATGAAAATATCTGCCGCTCCAAACAGCCAAAGGCAGGTACAGAGAGGTAGATCTCTCCTCTATCTCCTCTGGACCTGTGTGATTTCACAGGACATCACAACATAGTGGATATGGAAAATCTTGAGGGAAGGAAAGTGCGATAATCTCGGCCTGGGTGCTTTCTGTACCTCCCCACACTGCTCTCTTCCTGTAGGCAAATGCAGGTAATGAATGATCCATCAGGAGAGGGCTGAGACAAGCAGAAAACAGGAAGACTTTTGGAAAGTTTGAGCAACAGGGAGCACTGGAGAAGAAAAAAAGAATGGATGTGGACTTTCTTGTCTGCCGTTTAGCCCATCCTCTTTGTGTGTATGTGTGCCAGAAAGTATATGTGTTTGTGTGTGTGATGGGCTCCCTCTCAACACAGGGTGGTGAGATTGAGCAGAAAGACAGATATAGAAATCAGATAGGGGCGCCATGTATGGTCATTCTGACATGCTGCGCTGCTGGACATGTCCAAATGAAGACATTATAACCACATAGCACCTACAGCCTACTCACTATAAGCTCCATCCGTCTGTCTGTCAGCTGCACAGCTTGTGCCTGCCCAGTCAACATTTTCCTCTTTCTGCTCTGTCAAAGTAACATGCTTTTCTCTGCCACACAACAGTGTCTCTGCTGTAGAGATTTTCTTGTTTTTGCTTTATAGCAGTGTAAGGTGCTCTACATGATAAACATGTTGGTTTCTGTGGTGCAGAATTCTAAGAGCAGCAGCGCCACTCAGTGGTCCAAACAACAATGTACTCAAACTGTCATGACCAACAAAGCTTCAATACAAATGGCCTATGGCAGGTAAGTGGTTTTGTACACTGCCCCTTACAGTAGTTCACTGGTGATGTGGGTTATGGTTTGTTTGCTGAAGTGTGCACACAGCAAACAGAAACACAATACCACAAAGATGTACACACACATGGTTTAGGGCTCCAGAGCAGTGTTTTCATTTACTCTGCAAAAATGCTGCATGTTCAAACAGGCGGTGAAGTGATCTGTTGTGACTGGCACAGACCGCTCAGCTGCTTATTCATACAGATGTACTCTCAACTGCAACTCTTTGTTCTGTTCACCTTGAATTGTTTGCTGCAGAGCCTGTTTTCATAGGAAGGTCTGATCAAACTTCTCTGTCATTTTTGGGTTTTTAATGTTCATTTCTGTTGCAAGATCTAACGTCAGTTACATACTGTACTTGATCTGGTACTTTGAGTTAGTATAGTCTTTGTGAGTGTGTTTGTTTGTTGTTAGGCTATTAATGGAGGCTAACCCTGCTAAGTTGACAAACATTTTCCAGCAACATTAGCTAATTACACTCCCAACTGATTAAGACTACTTGTTCCAGGCATTACAGTGATGATGTGTGTTTGTGAGTTGGCCCGGAAGTTAGCTCAGGGATGATTTATTGACTGCAGCTACACTACAGCTTCAATAGGTCTTTATCAGATAATGAACTCTATATTAGAAACAGCTGATATTCATGTGTGTGATCATATTAAATAATCTGCATAATTGTTCATGCATTATTAATTTTATAACAATTAGCATTAATAAAAAGTTTATAGTTTTCTCAATTGTCAGATAAAAGACCTACAGGTCTCCAGCATAAGGCTAAACTACTGACTGCACAGTGTTATAAAAAGCGAACAATGAAGTAATCACACGGCTATAGGAATGAACAGGTGATAAAGTGGATTTTCACTACTGAGAAGAAAAAAAACATCCTTGTTTACTTTTGTTTTAAACTGAAATTTAAAATTCATAATATCTTTATCCAGCAAAAAGCAATATTAAAGCAATGTGGACAAAATCCTCTCTGACATTAGCTATAACTTTTAATGTGATGTTGATAAGAAATATCAGAAACTTATGAAAGAAAGTCATTTTCGGCTTTTCCCGTTTTTTTTTTTAGGGGCCACCACAGCGAATCGCCACACTGACAACTTGCATGTTGCCATTTGGCACGTGTTTTACGCCGAGCAGCACCGCAGAGTTGCACTGTCGTTCTTGGCTGCTATCTTCCTTTGGAAGATGTTGAAATCAATAGCAGTAATTATACTTAAGACATTTTAAGTCACTGACCTTTGTCAAAACACATTTTACAACCTTTTGACTGTCTCTCTCAAATACTGGGCCATTTTAATAATTAGGTACCTAGCTAAGTAGCTCAATTAGCTGAGCTATTTACAACAACAGAACACAGAATTAGTTTGCAAGCATGTACAGGTCATTAAAATCAGCACTTTGCTGATAAATCCCACTGTTCCCTATAGAAAACAATGGATCTGAATCAGCTGTTTGGAACAATTTGAAGCTATAGAGTCACGCGACCTGCTGTTGTTTTTGACCCCTCAATATTGTAGCTCTTCTATCATAAGAGCTCTGAAACCAGTAATTTAAAGGAACAACACATACACCCCTCATGAACTACACCTTTTAAACTTTGGTTCTGTGCAAATAAAGTTAATTAGTTAGTTAATTACTGAAGTTTAGAGGTGCTGGTAGGCTGATTTTGCTACCTATGGACAGTGCCAGGCCAGCTGCTTCCCCCTCTTTCCAATCTTTATGCTAAGCTAAGCTAAGCTAACTGGCACCTACCACTAACACTTATGAGGTAACATTTTTGTACACAAACACTCACCCAAAGCTGCTGGAAATAACCCATCCAAGATGCCCATGTGAAATAATCCATTCCTCCTTTGTAAACCCAACCTTATCTTTGTCTTTTGCACAGTTTTTTTAAAGTATTTTCTCTGTGCACAAATGAGATTAAAATGAAAGTACTAGACAGACAGCTGTACTACAACGACAGAGGAAGTCATAACCTCAATTCCTGTTAAGATTTTGCAGTCATGACAACAGGCCTACATACATAAGTACACCACCGGACACAGAGATCATATAGATTCATGTACTATTGCAGATGCTTGGAAGATTCAGAAAAAGCAATGATGGAAGTAATGGAAACAAAACTGTCATTGTATATAACATGAAAAAGAAATTCTTACTTTTTCAAGGATGTTAATATGAGAATCAAAACTGAGTTAATTTCAGTTTTTTTGTCCAACCTCCTAAGTCAACACTTAACCTTCTCTCACACTCTGTATTTTTGTATTGTACGAAATAAGCTACGGTTGTCAGCAAGAGCAGATAATACTACTGACACATGGCACATAGTGTGGATTTCAGCCCATGTTTGAGTCATTAGTCAACGTCACACCTACACACCAGCACATGCGCCACATCTGAAGCAAGTATTACAGGATATTTTTCGTTGCTCAACAGGAATGGCAATGTGTCGGTGCAGGTGAGGCGTGCACCGTTCCCAGACTGATATGATTCAGCAGTGAAACAGCTACATGTACGCTCTTGTCTCTGTTATTTAATCTCACCCTCTATCTAACTGAACAGTTTAATAATTGTAAATTAGGATCACATTTAATGGCAAGAAACTACTTTATTCTGCAAGAAGACAGAACTTTTTTGCTATCCAGCCTTCATCAGTGTCACAGTCTCATAGTACTGCTTCTTTAAAGGTGACAAACAGGTGAAACCTCGAGTTAATTAGCCTGCACCTGGTTGAGTAGATGAAACAAGCTGAGTTCTTAGAACACAGGTAAAAGTGACAACATATTCAAACTCATGTAAATGGAAAATGGCCCTATACTTGTATAGTGCATTTCTAAGCAGTGTAGCACCACTCAAAGTGCTTTCATACTATTTGTCTATTCACCCATTCACACTCCCAAGCCCACACAAATTCACACACCGGTGAGCAACTTGGGGTTCGGTGTCTTGCTCAAGGACATGAAGGCATGTTGACTGGAGGAGCCAGGAATCAAGCCACCAACCCACCAGTTAGGAGACGACCCACTCTACCCCCTGAGCCACAGCCACAGCTCCCCCATCTAAATTCTAATTTACAATTATTGGGTAACACTACTGGTATAATGTACTAGTATTTCCTGAGTGCGGTGGAGCCCAGGCATAAAAGATTAACTTAACAGTTTGGCCTTTCACATGCTGCTGATCACAACAACAAAAGGTCAGTCAGGTATAGACACAAATCAAGTTGAAATGAATGGGACTAAAGTTTGTGTTTACCTCGTGTTTGTCTTCATCATCTGTTTCATCTTCCACTGTATCCATGTCATCCTCACTCTCTGTCTCTTTGTCCTCTTCTTCTTCCAACATGGAGATGAACTCCTCTGACCTCTCCCTCACCTCCTCTTCCTCCTCCTCCTCATCTGGACTTTCCATGGCTGTTGTAGGCTCTGGTCTGTATGGTCTTACCACCTGCTCTGGTACTTTGTTTTCCCGAGGATGGACATTCAGGGGCAGTAGCACCTCCCTTGCTTCCTTACTCACAGGGTCAGCTGCCCGGGTCTGGACTGGATGAGGTTCTACTTTCGCCTGTGAGCCCCATCTCTTTGGTTTGACAGAAAAATCTTCAAAATCCACCTCAATCAGGGGTTTTCGGACAGAGAAGTCATCGTAATTTACTTCGATATTACTCTCAGTGGGCCTGTAGGTTTTTGCTAAGGAGGAATTTGGTGTTTCTGACTTCTGATGCACATCGTCAGAGTCAAAGCTGATTAAATTTGACTTTGTTTCATGCACTGCTCCTTCCTTCTTATTTCTTTCTTCATCCATTCTCAGCTTTTCCTCCATTTCTTTTGCTCGCTTTCTTTCCAGTTCCTCTCGCATTTTTTCCCCCAGCTCCTCCGCTCTTTCATTCTCTATCTGTCTCCTCCATTCCTCTTCTCTTCTCTCCTCCTCTCGCTGTTTTTCTATTTGCCTCATTTTCTCCATCTCTTCCTCTTTTTTCTGCTGCATTCTCCTCTCAAGCTCCCTTCTTGTTCTCTCCTCCTCCTGTCCCTGTCTTTCCCTCATCCTCTCTTCCTCTTCCAACCTCCTTTGCCTCTCCCTCTCTCTTTCCTCAGCCTCCTCTCTTAATCTTTGCCTCTCCCTCTCCTCCTGCCTGAGTCTCTCCTCCATCTGCCTTGCTCTCTCTCTGTCCTCCTCTCTTAATCTTTGCCTCTCCCTCTCCTCCTGCCTGAGTCTCTCCTCCATCTGCCTTGCTCTCTCTCTGTCCTCCTCTCTCTGTCTTTGCCACATCAGTTCTGACTGTCTTTCTATCTCTTGTTGTCTCAGCCGTTCCATTTCTCTCTCCTCTTCTTTTAACTTTTCTCTCTGCAATTCTTCCTGCCTCCGTCTCTCCCTTTCCTCCTCCATCAACTTCTCCCTCTCCTCTTGTCTGAGTCTCTCCTCCATTTGCCTTGCCCTCTCTCTTTCCTCCTCTCTCTGTCTTTGCCGCATCAGCTCCGCCTGTCTTTCTATCTCTTGTTGTCTCAACCGTTCTCTTTCTCTCTCCTCTTCTTTTAACTTTTCTCTCTGCAATTCTTCCTTCCTCCGTCTCTCCCTTTCCTCCTCCATCAACCTCTCCCTCTCCATCTGCCTTGCCCTCTCTATTTCCTCCTCTCTCTCTCTTTGCCACATCAGTTCTGACTGTCTGTCTATCTCTTGTTGTTTCAGCCGTTCCCTCTGTCTCTCCCTTTCCCTCTCCTCCTCTCTCCGTTTTGCTTCTTCCCTAAGCCTAATCTCTTCTCTCTGCCTTGCCTTTTCTTTCTCCTTTTCTTCTTCTTCTTGTTTACGCTCCTGTTCTAGCTTAACTCTTTCCTGTTCGCTCTCCTCTGCTCTTAGTCTTTTTTCAGCTTCCAAATGTTTCTGCCATTCCTCTTCTTGCTTTTGAACATTGTCCTTGTTCCGAAGAATTCCTTCTCTTCTGTTGACCAGTCCCAAAACAGCGGTCTCCACCTCCCCTTCATCCTCAGTAGCCTCTTCTTCGTCTGAGCTGGATTCAGACACTGAGCCCAGGATCATTGGAGGCCCACCGTCATCTCTCTCCACGATACCAAAGCGAACAGAGCGACGTTTGCTGTTGTCCCTTTTTGGAGCACTTGAAGCTGATTCTCCTTCATCAGCGGCAGTTTGGCCTGCAGATGGGCTGTGAGTGTGCAGTCGAACCTCTGATGATTTGTTCTGCTCATACTCCCTTGGAGTCTCTGTTGAGCTTTCCAGTGGCTTCTCAACAGCATCTTTAGCTGTTTCCACTGGGCTCTCTATGAGCTGTTTACCTGTGGAGACCTTTAAAGATGGCTCCACGGCCTGTGCAGATAATGTCCCAGTTGCAGGAAGTTCAACAGGTGGCATTTTTGGTGTTTTCTCCACAGTTGGAGAAGCTGCTTGTTCAAAGCTGTGAAGGGAGCAGTAGTTCAGGTCAAAATTCAAAGATTAATGGTCCTGTTTGCTTTAAACAAATTTTCACATATAAATGGCTGCACATCTAATGTTACAGCAGAGAAGTACACTCACTGGCCACTTTATTAGGTATACCTGTACAATTGTATGCACTTCAATGCAAAACTTCCATCTTAACACCTATGTACAGAAAGCTCAAAATGTTTCTGTTTTTGGTGAAATTGTCATAAATGTATAAAATCAATTATGTGTTTATTATTGAGGTCATAGTTAAAGCTGGTGTTGTACAGGACTACATTATATTCAGAGGTGTACCTAATATTCTGACCCTCTCATGTATGTGCCAATAAACCCCCTCCTTGGATACACATGCAGGAGAATGTTCTTTTCTTTTAATTCTTGTCTAGTCATGTTATCAAACACAAACAGCACAGAAAAACAGAGCTCACTCACCTACTAGAACGAGTTCGGGGAACAACCTGAGGCTGCTTCTCAGTATTTGGAGCCTCAGAATTTGTTTCTGCAGCCCATTGTTTAATGCGCTCCTTTACACCTCCTGTACCACTTATAACTTCTGGCTCGTCTTTCTTGGTCATGGTCTCTGACCTTGAAGACGAACCAAACAGCTGACTGATTCTACGTTTTATGCTGCCTCCTCTGCTGTAACTCTCCAGCGGTTGCCCTTCATCATTCTCTCCGTTTGACAGTTTTGAAGCTGTTTGGCTCTGGTCTTGATCAGAGGACGCTGGCTTGTTTACACCTCCTGTATCAGTTATAAGTTCTGGCTCGTCTCTATTAGTCATGATCTCTGATGTTGACGAAGAATCAGACAGCTGACTGGTTCTACCTTTCGTGCTGCCTCCTGTGCTGGAAAGCTCCATCATTCCCCCTTCTTTGCTCTCTCTGTTTAATGGCTCTGAAGCTGTTTGGCTCTGCTCTGTATCGGTGGACAATGGTTTGTTTACTCCTCCTGTACCACTTTTAACTGGCTCGTCTTTCTTGGTCACGATCTCTGACCTTGAAGACGAACCAAACAGCTGACTGATTCTACGTTTTATGCTGCCTCCTCTGCTGTAACTCTCCAGCGGTTGCCCCTCATCATTCTCTCTGTTTGACGGTTTTGAAGCTGTTTGACTCTGGTCTGGATCACAGAACGCTGGCTTGTTTACACCTCCTGTATCAGTTATAACTTCTGGCTCCTCTTTATTGGTCATGAACTCTGATGTTGACGAAGAATCAGACAGCTGACTGGTTCTACCTTTCGTGCTGCCTCCTGTGCTGGAAAGCTCCATCATTCCCCCTTCTTTGCTCTCTCTGTTTGATGGCTCTGAAGCTGTTTGGCTCTGCTCTGCATCGGAGGACAATGGTTTGTTTACTCCTCCTGTACCACTTATAACTGGCTCGTCTTTCTTGGTCATGGTCTCTGACCTTGAAGACGAATCAGACAGCTGACTGATTCTACGTTTTATGCTGCCTCCTCTGCTGTAACTCTTCAGTGTTTGCCCCTCATCATTCTCTTTGTTTGACGGTTTTGAAGCTCTTTGGCTCTGGTCTGGATCAGAGGACACTGGCTTGTTTACACCTCCTATGCCAGTTATAACTTCTGGCTCCTCTTTCTCGGTCATGCTCTCTGATGCTGACGAGGAGTCAAACAGCTGACTGATTCTATGTTTTATGCTGCCTCCTGTGCTGTAACACTCAACCGGTTGCCCCTCATTGCTATCTCTGTTTGATGACTCTGAAGTTGTTTGGCTCTGCTGTGGACCGGAGGACGCTGACTTGTTTACATCATCTTTGGTGCTGGTTGTAGATATAGTTGTAGTGGGCTGGGGAGGCACGGGCAGGCCACCAGACTCAAACCTTGAGGTGAGCTCCGAAGGCAGGCGCTTCCTGGTGCTGCCCCACCGATATATTGGATCAGCTGTAGAGGGACTGTCACTCCCTGATTCTTCAGGCTTTTGAATGACACATGATTCATCTACCTTCTGTTTTCCATCCGTTTGATCTGAGTTAGTAATAATATTCACAGATGGTTTTTGGTTTGTTTGATAGACATCTTCTTTCTGGATTGGCACAGATTTGGGTGGAGTGGTTTGAGAGGCTGGAACTGATTTTCCTGGAGCTACAATGGAATCAGGAGTTTCCTCTTTGTGAGGCTTTGCTTTACTTTCTTTGGTTGTTTTTGGTTTGTCTTTGGCATGTACAGGGCTGGGTTTGGAATCAGAGGGAGTGGACTGTTGATGAGGTTTCTGAGCAGTGGTGGTCAGAGGCGGAGTTGGGACACCAGTGGCATCTGATTTTTGAGTCTGGTTTGCTGGTGACTTAGAAGTTGCAGTGACTGCCTTTGGGGCATTGATGGAGCGAATTGTGCTGTTCTTCTGCAGAGAGAAGGGCTTGGGAGTGAGCCGAGGTTTGGGTGCCAGAGCCGGCTTTGCATATGAGGTGCCCCCAGTCTGGGAAGTCTCAATGGAGCTCTCCATAACTGAGTCACTGAAGGAGGAGAGGAGATGTTTATATAGAGAAAACTACATATTTACACTGAAAAAACATTATCACTCTCAGGCAGACACAGCCACCCCATTTTGTTGTTACAAAGAGGGCTGGATAAGTCTGGTTGGTCTAGATATTTGAAAGCACATCAGCTCTGCAGGAGCAAAGAGAAACTAACTAATTACACTGAAGAAACACCAGAAACTATGAAAGAGCTTCCTACTGCAATCATTTTTCTTTTCTTACTTAGTTTCCTTATTGAGTCCACTTTTGTAATATTAAAAAATATGTTTTAACAGTTTATGCACTGTTACTTCACAAAATCAAACCATTTAAATGACCAGTTTCTTTCCCATAATCACGATCTGACCTTGGGGATAACTGTAATGCTACTAGTAGCAGTATACTGTATATATATGTGTACACTGTAGTGTTTGTATATCAGTGGGGGACAAGTGTGAAGGACAAGCTATTTCTTTAAGGCACAAGCAACATGAATTTGGTTGTATTATTTCATGATTATTTCCAAAATAATATATCAATAATATGCCCTTTCAAATCAACAACATGTTATTAACCCTCTCTTATGACTTTTTGATACCTTTACCAACACCTCAAAATGCACCAGGTCAGTGAACAGCTGTGGTCATGTGATTTCTTTTTTTACACCAAACAGGTGACGCTACTCAAATCTTCTCAGCACAACTTGATAGTAGTGCATTATCAAGTCCTAAAATTAAAATGTACCATTAAGTTATAACATTTACAGACAGGATATGTGATATTACACCAGAATAAAATGTTAATTTGATAGTAGAAATAAAATGCACTTCAGTTTGTCATTTTAAAAGGGCACTTAATAGGAAAAAGCACTAAATGTCTAGGAATCAGAACAGACACGTAGGAGACCTGCTGTCAGAGGCAAAGACTGGGGCAGGCCTGATGAGTCATCATCACACACATCTTCAATAGCATCTGCAGTAACGACACAATCACATCAGGTCCCCAGTTGGACTGAAACCACAGACAGATAATTATGCTGCAACCCTCTTATAGTAAGACTGCCACACAAGTGTTTTGGGCAGCACACAGAAGGGAAAGGGAAATGTGTCATACACAGTATGTGAAAAAGGTAAGAGTTATGTTTCCAAAAATGTTACAATAAATACCAAAGGCATTGTATGCAGCATGATATCTGGTTTGACCTGTAAGACTTTGGCACAAACCAGTATCTCCACACCTCCCAGTTTAATACACTACAACACTTGAAGTGTCAGCAATAGTTTCACTGTTTCACTCCATTATTATCAATCTGCATCTGATTTTAAAGACCATTTTAATTCCAGATTACTGTCAGAGTGTACACTAAGACATTTTTGCAGGTGTAATGTGTTGTTGTTATCTTTTTGTTGCATTGCTCAAACACACACCTCTGGGTGTGAATGATATTGTGCAATGGGAACATATTGTGTTCCTAAAGCTGTGTAACACCACCCATTGTTGCTGCTTTCCTCTCATTTTCCTTGCAGCTGAATTCATAAGAAACAAACACTGTCTAGCAGATGAAGCTTCAGTTGATTCCTCTTTCTTATTTAGGCCTCATTCATGGATAAATCATTCTGGAGCAGGACTTTTTGAGTTTCTTTATCTTTGTTTGTCTTTAGTGCCCACTGCGCTGCTGGATAGCTTGTGAATTTTCCACCATAGAGGCCTTATAATTATACTGTAGTTTTTGTATTAATCTGGTTCTGAAAAGTACCTCGTAGCTAAAGTTATAACATAAATGTAGTGGAGTAAAAAGTACAATATTTGCCTCTAAAATGTAGCAGAGTTAAAGTATGGCGTAACAGAAAATGAAAATAATCTAGTAAAGTACAGAGACCTCAAAATTGTATTTAAGTACAGTACTTGAGTAAATGTACTTAGTTACTTTCAAGCACTGCGTTAACCCTTCTCAGTGATGCTGTGAGCAGCAAACCGCTTAGTTTGGGAGCAATTTAGTCTCAAGGAGCCAAACATCGTGATATAATAACTTGTAGCGTACATAAAACGTGAAATTAACGTTTTATCTGTCTGTTACATGTGTCATTAAGTGTTAATAAGTTACTAATAAACGCGTCAACAATAAACTTCCAGTGGTTGAACCAGCAGGTTATCCCCAAAGGCTGAACAAAGGAACCTAAGATAAATACGTGTATCTTTACGTTTAATTTAAGCTAGGTTGTCAGTCTTGTGAACGAAACTCGGAGTCTTTTGTAAAAATACAAATATGCGATATTCACACTAAGATATAACTATACCCACAATTTCTACGTTACGTGCTTGGAAAACACACAGTCCCAAAGACTGTGCACCTGCTCTACACATCAGCATTATGAACTTTCCCACCGGCTGATATAATTTGCCACATTTCGTGAGTAGGATATAAGTTGTTTTGTTGTTGTTGTTGTTTTACCTTTTGTCTTCGCGCAGTCATACAGTTGGAGGAAGGGAAGAAGAAATTACACGCGAAAAATGTCCCTCAGTTTTCCGCAATTGTCTCGCCTGGTGTGTGCTTTTTTTTTCTAACGTTAGTCATTCACACTAACAAGACGTCAGGCTGCTCCCGAACCCAGTGGACGCTCAAGTCACACACAGCGAGACATGACGAGGCAGGAAGTGCTTGTACTTCAAAATAAAACAGCAAGAAATAGTGTTCGGCAAATTTAGTTGTAGGCCTATGGTGCGACAACAGTCACCATTACATAATCATTAATTACAGCCGTCCTTATACAACAGCATCGCAGATAAGATGCTGTTATTATTACTGTTATTATATTGCAAAAATAGTTGCTTATGGGGAAAAGGCACAGTTGAGGTATTCATAGCTACTCTTGGTAAGTTTATAACTTGGTTAGGGCCCCATAAGAGTTGGATGTGAAGTGTCCTCTGTTAAATCAGTTAAAGTTGATCATTGAGTTGCAATATGTACATTTCTACACATTCAAATTACACAAAAGTAGAGCAGGGTGTATTGTGGAGTTGTTAGCTTTCTTTTTGCAGTTGGAATATATTACTTTATTTAGGATTATTAATTATTTTACTGTGGTGTTTGGGCACATTCCGCAGTAAAAAAATGTTGTTTATTGCAGGACGAATAACACATGCATCTTGAACGGTTTTTATGCTGGCTGAATGAATTACTTACTTTTCAGCATAATACTTACAGTATCTAAAACCCTCATAATGTTAATTTTCAACATAAATGAACTATAATGGAACATGAAAATAGGTGCCCAATGATTAAAACTAGCCTAAACCAGCTAAGAGCTGGGCCTGTCTATAAATATTGAATATAGTCAAAAAATACAAAACATGAACTACGTGAATGATTTGAAGTGACTCGCTGTAATTTAAAATGAAAGAATTGCCCATTTGAATCGTTGGGCTACTCTGCGCTTTAGTTTGAAAATAGTTGCCCAAAGTATCGTGTAAATTTGTGGTAACTTGAGGACAGTATGTTGTTCTATGGACTGGATTAACAGGTTCTGACTGAAACGAAAAGTCACCGGTAGTGAAAAGGAGTAGCTCTCCCTGCTTTTGGTAGAGTGTTGAAGGTACCTGCAGGAAGTGCCCTTCATCCATCGGGCAATAAACCCTCATTTACATGACGCCTTGGCCTTTACAACACTAATTTGCGTTGCCTGTGCATTCGAGCAAAGTACACCTTACACATAAAATGATCTGGGACATCTAGCAAATCAAATAAATAAGACTTGTTAGATTCACATACGTGTATGTTGTGTTGGAGCTGTCTTGTTTTTCATAAACTCACACAACATAGCGTATGTGGCAAAAATTGTGCACTTCTAAAGCACAAACATTATTTTATCAAAATCAACAAAGAATGATGACTTTCTGACTCATTGTTGTGCTTAAGTTCAAATATAAGGTAGCCTACTGCTTTACTTAAGGAATTAGATAATTGTGCAATTTGCTGCATAATGAGTAGCCTTTTGATTCTTTAAGTACATTTTAGTGATCGTTTTGTGTTTTTATTTGAGCAGGATTTTGATGGGAGGACCTTTAAGAGAAAATATGGTACTAGCCCCACTACTTTTACCCAAGTAAAAACAGAATGTGAATACTGACTGTAAGGAGGTGCCTATATCGCCCCCTGGTGGACATTTCTATGAACTCGTCCACTCCCCCCTCTGGCTCGCTGGAAGGGTTGTTATGGCAACTGTACAGCATGTGCCTTCAAAAACAAGAGCTTGACGTCCTTCGCCAGTTCTGTCGACACTCGACATCTACGACACCATCTAATAATTTTGGTATTTGGTATTCATACAGCCGAAGAGAGTCAAAGATGAGCGGAGCCAAAGCCCGCAGCGACGCGCCGGTTACTGAAAATGTCTCCGGCAGCGGGCACAGCACTGCGGCTCCTCCGCGGGACCGCAAGCCCGTCGGAGGTGTTCTGAAGAGGCTCAAGTCCCGGATGAGCCAGGTGGACAACAAGCCCGTCACGGAGGAAGACCTGCGGACACAGAATGGACACATCACCCCGGAGGATGTGCTAGGACTGCGGGTGGCTACGCGAGGTTTGAGTCTCTCACTGTTGTCCATTGACGTGCATCCACAGATGTGCTACCTATACTGTGTTAAGTATCATATGATAATGTGATCAAGTCTCTACGACCTACACAAAACATTAAGTTAAATTTGCATATGACATATAATTAGAGCACACGACGTCCGGTGGTACTGGCATATTTGGCTAATGTTAATGTAAATATAGTATTGTGTTTGTTATAATTGTATGAGAGCAATCTGACATCACAGACAAATGACAGGATGCATTGTGATGGTAAATGTTATCGGCTGTGTTACTGTAACCGAACTAATATTATATTATGACTGCAAACTCCAAAACACGTCCTCACAGAGTAAGGTACTACTCTGACATCACAACCAAAATGTATCAGGATAAATCTTGTTAATTAAACTAATAATAATAATGACAACATAGTAGATATATTTACAGCTTCTGAGTCAACATAAGGGAAATAAAACTAAAGAGAAACTAAATGTATTACATAATTAACCTTGTGTGAACGAAGGGCACTGTTTATGACACCATTAAATGTTGAAGTCTTTTCACATAGTGTATTCTTGTTAACTTAATATGTCTCTTTTCCTGTATAACTCTGCAAGGACACAGTGGATCCAGTTACATTTTTTGTCTTTTTATGATTATGGTGCATACAGTATGTGCAGAATTTGTATGTATGTAAAGTTGCACGTCTGCATTAGGAAAGTCAAGCACTGAGCGACCTTTGTTTATATTTAAATGTTTGTGCTTTGCTGGTTTGTGCTTTAACAGTGTGCATAAGTCAGTGACTTACCAGGTCATGTCAGTGCTTAGAACTTCTGTCTTCTGTCTGTCATTGTTGCAGGGTACCTCTGTAAACCTGAGGACAATGTTTATAACATTGACTTTGTGCGCTTTAAGATAAGAGACCTAGAGACTGGCACTGTCTTGTTTGAAATTGCCAAACCACCACATACAGGTACTGTGTATTAACTCACTCCTTGAATTGTTCTATTTTAGTGTCTGCTCTGTAATCCTTTGATTCTTGAGCACTATTAAATGAATGTACTTACACTGCTGGCAACTTGTTCTTGCCATTAACTTCAAATGAATGTCTCTAAGCAGGTTATCAGGTTCTGATACTTGTTATTCTGGTCAAAAATAGTCACCTATGTGAATGATGTAAAATGACTCAGCCCTGTGCTCATCAGAGGATGATGAGGAGACCCGAGAGGCAGATGCCAGCGCGGGTCGATTTGTACGCTACCAGTTCACACCAGCCTTCCTGCGACTGAGGACTGTGGGAGCCACGTGAGTGACTCATACGTCACTATCACACACCTAGGAAAAACACACTCACCTGTTCCATGCATAAACAATGAAAACAATTACTGCATTCTCTTCTATTGGACACACACACTCATAGACAGTTTTTGCCTGTGCAGTGATTATAATAACATTATAAATACAAAAGAGCAGCTCTGCTGTTATAACAGCTCCCTTCTTTCCCTGTTATCGGATCAGGGTGGAATTCACAGTTGGAAACAGGCCTCTAAACAATTTCCGCATGATTGAGAGGCACTACTTCCGGGATCACCTGCTCAAGAGCTTTGACTTCGACTTTGGCTTCTGTATCCCAAACAGCCGTAACACCTGTGAGCACATCTACGAGTTCCCCCAGCTGTCTGAGAGCCTGGGTGAGTCCTGTTAGAATTATATCAAAGCATACTATACGTTAGAAAATGACTCATTGCACCATGGAAGACATTTTATCACCTTTTATAAAATGTTGAATATCTAGATGAAAACTGAATTTACAAATAATATTTCCTTAAATGGGATTTTTGAGTCCGTATACTGTAATTATTAGGTTAATTTATAGCAAGTCTTGTGGGTTAGAATATAGTCATGGTGTTATCTGTGTGCTTGTCTGTATGTTTACAGATTACTGAGACAAAGTGATTTCCCTGACACAAATATAAAGGGGCGGCACAGCGGCGCATTGGTTAGCGCTGTTGCCTCCCTGTGCCACACAGGCGCAGGGAGAACATGTCTTCCCACAGATGTGCAGCTTAGGTTGATTGGTGACTCTAAATTGCCTGTAGGAGTGAATGTGTGTGATAGACTGGTGACCTGTCCAGGGTGTACCCCGCCTCTCGCCCAATGTCAGCTGGGATTGGCTCCAGCTCCCAGCAACCCTATTCAGGAATAAGCAGTATAGATAATGAATAATTGGATGGATAATATAAAGGCTTAAAGGATAGGTTCAGAGGTTTTCTACTATATTTTTTTGACAATTTTGATTCCTCATGACCATGAAACTATCCCCTCCTAATGTGACTGCACTACAAAAAAGAGGGAAGAAACAAAACAGTCTTTATTCTGGTAAAAATGCATTCTAACATTAAGCTAATATAAGGCACCAGCAGTCTGAGTTAGTCAAATCACACAGGTATCATCCTCCCAGTAGTCCATCCAGATTTATTGCCAGTGTTGTGTGACAGCATCAAACCTGCATGCAATTGTTAATCACTGTATTTAATCACTTTATTTTATTGGCCAAGTATGTTACACACACAAGGAATCTGTCTCCAATACAAAACCGAGGCAGCCATCTACAGCCCCAGTTCACTCACATACTGATGCTGGCACTGTCCTTGCAAGACAGCTGCTTTTGCCATCACGGACAATTTGGGGTTCAGTGTCTTGCCAAAGGACACTTCAAGAACGGAAATTGAACCACCGACCTTTCAGTTAGGACACGACTGCTTTATCTCCTGAGCCATAGCCGCCCCTTTCCTTTTGCCACAAAGACAGACTTTCATACTAAAATATCTAAACTGGAGGATACTCACTTGATTTGTCTTCCGCTGAAGCTATATATTATGTTTGGTTCAACTTTGGAAAGTATTTGTGCATGGAGCAAGGACTGTGTTCTCCCTTTTTGCTTTACAGTGTAGTTGGGGTTAGGAAGGGATCGTTTCATAGCCAAAACAATATGGAAAGCAGAGTTATTACAGCAACCAATAACTCTCTCAGTGTAGATAATGTACATGTGAGTAGACTTGAAAAACATTCTTTTACACAAAAAGTTTCTATAACACAATTCATGTTTTGTGAGGACATCTACGTATAATCGTACTAATATCTGTTTATGTATTATATTCCTCATTAACTATCCAGTACTGCAGCTTGCGTTGAGATATTGAGGGACATTAGCACCACTTGTTTGCAGTGTTGACCACACAGAGCCACCTAGGCATTTGGACATTTCAAGTGCTAAATCAGTAACACCGCCCCAATAATTTCAAGCTCTTTAGGTTTTATCCACTTGCTTCTAGTTGCTATTATAAGAGCCTTTGTTGTGATCACTGACGCATATGCTGTCTGTCTGCAGTCTGTCAGATGGTGGAGTGGCCTTACCAGACCCGATCAGACAGCTTCTATTTTGTGGAGAACAGACTGGTCATGCACAACAAGGCAGACTACGCCTATAATGGAGGACAGTGATATCTGTCTGCTAGCGTGCAAACTAGGGGTGGAACGGTTCGCAAAATTCAGGCTTCGGTTCATAGCACGGTTTTGGGGTGACGATTTTCGGTCTTCAGACACAGCTGTTTAAATCGCTCAACATTTTCCTGCCTACACCTCAACCTATTTCAAATGAACCGAACAACTGCCCTGAACCATGACTGGTGAACCGAATGGGTTGGATTCTCAAACTGTTCCACCCCTACAGGAAACACACACACCTACACCCAAACATGCAGGCACACACAAGCGCTCACATTTATATTTATCAGTCTCTGCACTGACATACAAGCAGGAAGCTTCCATTAGAAAGAATTTCAAAATCGGTTAGTTTATCTGTTTTTAACTATGATACAGATCAGAACCAAAAGAGGACTCATCCCTTTAGTGGCCATATGTCTCAAACAGACCAAACGATTATTAGATAGTTAGTCTCCTCTTAGCACTTTTAAAAGTGTCCTACTACCCAGCCAACACACATACGCACACGCAATCCCAAAACACATAGTGTTTACAGAGTGTTTGTCAGAAGCAGCTGTTCTCAGAGCTTCCGCCTCCATAATCCACTCCAGACAATATTGGGGGCGAAAGAGGGGAACCATCCACAAAAACACTCCTGTCAAACACACTTGGTCACTCTTGTGGTTCCCCTTCTTGTCTCCCTTTCATCTCTTGCTTTCACACACACATATACACATCAAAATAGCAGTTTTGATGTGTATATGTGTTTGAAGAAAGATCTCTGAGGTACTACCATTTATTTTTGTTCTGCAGTTTTCTCTGGTTGGTAGCAACATGGAAATAGGTCAGTAAACAGTTAACTACAGCTTCATTTTAACCTTAGACTACAACAAAATAAATATGATGAACAACAGCAGAAAAGTAAATGCATGTGATTATACAAGCAAAAAGGGAAAGACTGGGCTTCCTTAAAGTCACATCAAATGTTTTCTTTCCCATCTTAGTTTAATTTATTGTCATTTTGAATCATTCCCTTAATTCCACGCATCTTAAAACAAATTGGATGATGTATGGAAATTGACTCATCTTTCTTCTAGCTAGAACCTCCTCTTTGTACTTTGCAAGTGTTCAGGGTTAAAAGCGGTGTTTGTAAATACACACATACATAAATATATATATATGAATAGTTTGTACAAAGTGATGAAAATAAATGTATGTTTTCAGATACAAGATGTGTGTTTGATTTCTGGGGGTGAGAAAAGCTGAAGGAGTTTGAGTTGATTTTGGTGCGAGGACAAAAAGTCCTAAAATCAGCCACTAGGAGGAGTTTTATTATAACTAAGTTTTTAAAAAAAGGTGCTGCTGACTGGTTTAGTTTCGAGTTTGATAGAGGAAAAGCTCACAGCCATGATGGTTTCCTGGGACGTTTTAACTTTCATGTCTTGTATTTACTTAAAACTGGTTGAATTACTTGATGATGTCACAACCTGATCCCTTTATAGTCTGTGGTTTCACTTCAGGGGCATTTACACATAATATCACTTCAATTCCCACTGTTTCTTTGTCTACAGGTCATATGTAATGAGCTATCACAGCATGCATTACATTTTGAAATTTGTTCAGGATTGCTACACTTTGATCATACATTTATGGAGCCTTGTGGGATTTAAACCACAATCTGAGCCTCTCTCTGTTTATTCTTTCTCAGGCACTGTTTCCTCCTATCTCTGTGTTCATCGCTTGATCTCTCTCAGTTTCCAGCTCTCATGCCCAAAACATTATGTTCTCTTCTTTTCCGTGTCTCTTTTTCTGTTTCTCTCTCCACACCTATGCAGCTCTCCTTCCTTCGCTCTCCCTCTGTATTTTTCTCTTTTCTTTCCTTCTCTCTCACCTGGTAACCAGACCTTTGGAGAGGAGTGTTGAGTTTCCACTTTCCCAGGGAAGAGGACAATCTGAGCCACACAAAGACCCATAATGGACCCCCCTCTGCTCTCTCCTCCCCTCACTCTGTCACTGCACAGCTACACACAGATACTCAGAAATATAGTGTACAGTACTCTGAAATGTATAAGAGTACTTTTACTTACTTATTCTTTGTAGCTCTGTCTCCCTGGTGTTCTTGCTATTACATTTAGTTGCATGATGTAGTTGTCAGATAGTATTAGTAATTTTCACTTTCTTCTTCCTTTACATCCTATTAAAGCAGAGCTTTGATTTATTGATTAAGATATTTTACAAGGTTACATCAGATAGATACCACTGTGAAGCGGTTGCCCAGAAGACTCCAATAATCGCAAAATGTTATTGGGAATCTTTGTTTTTGCAGCTGTGGCAAAAGGGGTCAGAAGGTTCTTTTTTTTTTTTTTTTTTTACAGCAATAACGGTGGTAACAGAACTAAGCTGAAAACAGAACACTGACATATTTGCATCTTAAAAAATGTCAGAACTTCCAAGCATGTTAGTAAACAGTTGCCTGTTTACAACTCCAGCAGACATGGAATAATGTTAGCATTCATTTGGAGTCCACCAGGCAATTGTGAGTCAGATATTCATTCTCCTTTTACCTATGTTCCTGGTCTGCAACAATGCCTGAGAAACAGACAGGTGACAAATTAAAGGAAAAACCTGAATAAATGAGTGCAGGGACGGACCTTGGGGTTGGCCAGGCTGGGGCACAGACTCAGGCCGTGTTCAGACTGAGTTTCAAAGGTGTGAAAAAAACGCAGCCCTCTACCATTCATTTCTATGGGGGGTTGCATTCACCGCAGCCAGCACCAGCACCATAGGGGTTCTGGCAACATGATGCAACCCTATGCAGCGAAAAAGCCCCATCTAGTTCAACTCTCACCGCACTGGATGGTGACATCATCCGGCAAAGGCCCTGCATTGACCAGTCATGTACGAGGGGGCAATCAGGACGTGTACACCCACAGGAAGAAGACTTATTTTTCTTGTTAGCATGAACATTCACTGCTATTCACTGTCGAATTTGGGCCACAATTAATGGTCCATAATGACACACCATGCATTTTTGTAAGTACTGGATGTTAAGAAGCATCTATAAATGCCGGCACACTGGTGGTAGAATTGCTGCTAAGGTAGAGTAGGTTACATTAGCAGCATGGCTAACATAAATACAATGGAAATTCCCAGGCTGGGAACATGAATGAAGCCACTCATGTCAACCTGTCATAACGTGGCCTATTGTACACGCCTACATCACTCCTTCTGCAACTCCTCACGCCCTGACCAATGCAGCTAAAACAGCAAGGAGTTGGGTTTTTGCCAGATCAATGTGAATGTATGGTTAGAGAAGGGTGGCACATCTGAAATCCATGTAGAAAGTAAACCCCTAGTTCCATGAAATACTAAACCCAACATTATTAAGAATCAAGTTGTTTATTTTGTGTAAACATGAGACACACACAGTGCTTTGTTTAGTTAACTTTGGCTGAGATCCTTCTTTGTTGCCAGACAGGACATCACTGCTGTGTCCCTGCTGAGGTGAGGTACTCCTCAGCAACACAATCAGAGAAATTAATGCAAATGATATAAAATAAAACAAATTTGACCAATATCAATTATAAACCCCCAGTAAAATGTTAGTTGTACTTAAGTCATCATTTTGTCATCCCTTTTTCTTTTTCATTCATTAATATTGACAAGCATCACATTTTGATTCTGGCAGGGCTGGCACCAGGGTATGGGTAGGGAGTGGCTAGCGCCACCCTTGGCCACCCCCTGTCTCCGCCCATAAATGAGTGGTCTCTTCCAGGATGACGGTGCCCCATGGGCATGAGGGGTCACTGGCTGGTTGATGAGTATGGAAATGATGTGACTCATATGCTATGACCGTCACAGTCACCACGTCAGCCCAGTTGAACACCTATAAGACATTTTGGAGTGACACGTTAGACAGCATCACCATCACCAAAAACCCAGTGAGGGAATATCTTTTGGAACAATGGTGTTCATCCCTCCAGTAGCATTCAGAGACTTATAGAATCAATGCCAAGGAGCACTAAAACTACTGTTATAGAGCTGAAGGGAACTGTGAAGCTGGATGAAAATTAATCGTGTGTTCGTCACTATCAACAACTCCTTTCGCTTTAGACTTGTTCATATGATACACTGTTTATATAAAAATATTATAAAATGCAGCATCAATGGTGACATTATAAACATACACATTAAAAATGACAGAGAAGTAGAATTAGTTTACTACCTTTGGGAAAGTTTAAAGGTATTTTATTACTTTCATACTTAATAGCATGGACATTTAGCAACAAAGCTAAGCTAAGCAAAGCTCACACACTTCTTTTTCTGTCTCACTCATGAAAAGCTTCAAACTGCCTGCAGACAATTAAAAGGCAGTTTACTCACTTTTCCCCAAAGAGTGAGCTATCACTTTAAAATATGTAAAAATTACTACTAATAATAATGTTGTGAAGACCTAGTGTGTCAGTTGCTGACTAGACCACAGAGCTGGGTGCAATTTAACGCTGAACTCATAAATCGGCAATCACATCCTCCCATCAGGCTGTGTGGCGTGCACACTGTATTGGACTGAACTGTGTGTTGGTATAATAGGAATCTCAGTATGTCTGGTTTTAGTTTGCACAATTAGCATCCACATGCACAGACACATCCACAGGAATAAACATACTTTCCAGGGATGATTTGTGTGCTTCCAGGCCTTCGTGGAATACATTTGACCAGTCATTTGTGGATCGCCACACATGCACCGGAAACAACTGGACAGGTGGGATAAATCAGCCTCATTCATCCTTTCTACTACACAACACATGCACCTATCTTTGTAACTAGCTTTCCCATATATCCTGTTCAGTGAATCACATCACATGGAGATTAGGAGTGAGAAACACTGGTCTCTTGAGGTTCTTCCTCAACACACATTCACACAGATCTACACAGGCAGGTGGACAGGGGGCACAGTGGTCTCCTATAAATAGCAGCTAGGAATGGCGTTGATAGGCCCTGTGAAAAGAAATGGAGGGGGGAGTGGAAAAAGGATTAAAAGGGATACAGAGACGCACTGCAACTCCACTTGTACTTGTGTCTGTCTGCGAGGTACTTTGGTGCGAGGTCATATGGATTTCTGGCCACCAACACAACTCTCTCTCTTGGACCTCTTTCCATCCACTCTCTCTCTGCCTCTTTTACCTTTAGAGATATACTTCTTTCTCTGTCTTGCTCTCCTTTTCGTTACTTTCATCCTGCACCAAGGCCCTGGCGTGAGAGCCATCAGGAGTTAACACTACATCACCCATAGCACGTCTTCCGACAAATGCATGATGAGTCACTGCACAGTCATTTTTTAGGTCAGCATGATGATGGTCTCAGAGATGGTCGTGACTTAATCTCTATGTGTCATTATGTCATTTCCAGCAGCTGCGTTGTAACACCAGTTCGGCCCTGACAGAGGTTAGGGCAGATGTGAAGGTTCAAACATAGAGGTTGATGTAAGTAAATAAAAATAAAAAGCTCGTTCAAGTGCGTGTTGAGAAAACAGACCACATATAAGCAATTTTGAGCCATTAAGGATGTCACACTTTTGAATAAACATCTCATTTTGAACTGAATGGACGCTGTAATTTAATATCATGCCAAGAAAACCTCTGTAGATGCAACAAGACAGGACTGATTATTATTTAATTGGGAGTTAATAATGTACTTAGTACAACAGCGATGGATTGACAGCCCTTTAACAAACTGTGATTTCCATGTCAGTTTCCACAGTGGCAAGAGCAGCATTGACAATCTGTTTTTAAGTGTTAGGTCTCTGCTGATTTGTAACCAACAGCCATTGTGCGGCTTCTGTGTCTCCCTGTCATCACCTGCCTAACAGTTTCTACAGTATAGATCGCCACTGCTGCCGCGTACACTAATACAACCTAGAGACAGAAATAGTCCTGTGTGATCTTAGTAAATAGGCTGTGGTCTGCTTGTGTGCTTGCAGGAAGCCCACAGCCGCCATTGGAAGCCTCTCAGAGCCTCCCAGCAGCCTCCCAGTCCAGTTTGTTTTGTGTGCATACTGTATGATTAATAAAAGGTTAACTCAACCCCCACTTAAATGTTGAAGAGGCCTATAAATCTCCCCTGCAATCTCTTCCTTCCTCTCCCTTTCTCTCCTCCCTTTGTCTCTGTCCCATTTGCCACACCTTCCCCTGAGGGATGGAGGGACTGAGATCGGAGAACGGAGGTGGGGCTCCTGGATCAACCACAGGTGTGCTCGTTTCCTCCCTTCTCCTCTCTCATGTAATGATTTCTTTGGCTCGCCACCTGCCAGGTGGAAAGAACACCCACAGCAAATGGAGCACTTTAAAATGGCCTCCTGGCTTCCGCTTTAAAAGACTTTTTTGCTTGTTCTCTTTGTCTTTTATCCATCAACAAACATTCCATTTTTATTCTTTTTCATTGTCCATTCACTACATTTAATTCAGTGAGGTCCTTCCTGGAACTATTGTTTGTTTACATTTTGCATCACATGCAAATTATGGCTTCTGGCTCTAAATACTGCTGCTACTGAAGCATCTGGCTGACAGAGCTACTAGCTTGTAAGATGATCAGTAGTTGCCTTTCTAACTCTTTTTCTCAGTGTCCACTTCTCAGGTCTCTTTCACACTGCCTTGAGCGTGCTGGAGAGCAGGTCCCAGACCCGGACAGGTCAAAGGTCGTTCACAGACAATAGGCTCCCACCCTAGGTCAGCTGTGGTTAAGGAAACAAAAGCAGTGCAGACCTGGACTGGATTAATTATAGCAGTATGTTAAGGTGGCAGAGTAACACCAAGACATAGGGAGAGAGAGAGAGCAGATGTAAAAAGTGTAACGTGGGCGTACTGATAATCTCTCTCACTCATTGACCAACTCACCCACACAACTGTGTTGCTTTCACACATACTTCACCAAATTGAAAAATATGAAAAACTGTTGCTTAAGCCTCATAAAACAAATTACTCAAAGTTTCTCAAAAAGGAAAACGTCTCTGCCCCCTCACTCATTTTGTATTTGCAGGTTTAAATAACAATCACTTGCAAAAATGTACTTACTTTAGTATCATAATCTGAAGTAACGTCAAGAGTTGTTGCTTTATTCTACCAGGACCTTTTCACAATGCTCTAACTTGTTCCTTCCCCTCCCCCATGCACTGTCTTTCTCCTCTCTTTTTTATTCAGTGCCATTGATCATGCATGCAGAAGTTTAGCACGCCCAACCATGGCTCACGCCAGGATAGGTTAGCTAATGCGCAGGCCTGTCCTACATACTGTTCTCTTGCCATGGTCCACCAGGCCAGAGTCACACCCTCCCCCTGACCTGCCTCCCCCCACTGACTTCCCACACTGCCGCACTCACACACAAACACCCTGTGGCCCATCTCCACACGAGCACATGCACAGATCATTATGTGCTGCCAGGAATGTTAACTCATCACTGCTGAAAAACCTCTAGTCAGGTGCAGAGCCACTTGGTTATGGGCTCATTTCAGTTTGATTCACACAAACAGACAGGAGGATGTTTTGAATTGTGGGCTGCTTTAATCAGACTACACAATACAGTACAAATCTACAGAAAATTACATTAATTCACTGCTTGAACCGTTTTATGACTGTGCTGTAAACTTGTGGTTCTTGTGAATCTAGGTCACAATCTGATGAGTTAGGTGCATTATAGAGTACATACCTTTGTGAGCACCTGACTTGTTTCATGGTGGTCAGAGCTGTAATGAAACTGCTCAGCTGACCAGGCTTGCCCAGGCTGAAAGAGTGGCTGACATAGAGGTAATGCTGCTCATCTATCACTTAGCCAGTTGGGATGTCCTGTCACATGGGTGGAGAAAGAGAGAGAGAGAGAGAATGAGGTGAGTGGATAAGGTCAGGTTTAGATCAGGGTTGAACAGTGACTAGGTAAGAACTCAGTGAATGATGTAGAGTGGTGATCACAGCTGCTTTGGATTTGATGGACTAGGATGAGAACTAGACAGCAGAAACAGGTGGGGTGACGGTTGGCCCAGGCAGGAACGGTTGGATGTGGAGGACCTCAAACAGTGTGGTTGCATGAGGTTTTGAAAGACTTGGTGAGTGTACAGAAAGGGTAATGATGATAGTCATGGTGGAAATGACTACATGGATCTGGTCAGCAATGCAGTGTGGGCTGGACTGAGCAGAGGCAATGCATACACATGCTATCACATAGGCCTACTATGACATCAGACCATAGGATCACATCATATGACACTGCTTCACCTTACATCATATAAGAATGATATCATATTACATTAATCCAGATAGTATAAGATAACACTGCATAGCACTGGATTATGTAAGAGCCAATTACATCATAATTACATTTAATTACATAAGGTATGTACTAATAATAGCTAATACTGACTTATTATCTATATATTACCTATGAGATCACATCACATTTAATCACATTACAGTATATAAGAAAACATCCAATTACATTTCATCTTAACATAACATAACATAACATAACATAACATAACATAACATAACATACACTTTCACTAGGCCCTTTCAGAAAGCATGACCTCACTGACCTCTATGTCATCTGACACTACAGCAATGACTTAATAGTGTACAGGTGCTGCTTTATGTAATCCAGTGTGTGGCTAAGTGGGTTGAGAACAAGTATCCTGGTTACCGATCTCACCTGAGGCCTCACCTGGGCTACAGGAAGACATCTTTTCCCCTATTATTAACACTTCAAAAGCAGCTAATACATTTTCATTGATGTGGAGCAGTTAGCAGTGAGTGTGGAGTTATTAGTCAACGATTAAAATCATGTCTTGCTGCGAATGACTTTCTCATTCCTGTAATGATTTTATGTATGGCTTCTAATTTTGTTATTTGAGCTTATGTTTGGATATATTTTTATTATGATGCTGCTGCTGCGGTGTTTTATAGCGACCACTCAAAGCGCTTTACAGTAATGGGCCACGCTGTTGTGATCAGCCAATGACATGAGCGGCGGGGAAACACTACAGAGAGAGCGCCAGTGGCAGCATGAATAAAGGCAGGCAGCGTGCAGGAAGGAGGGAGGGCCGAGGCTGGGGTAGGCTACGGGAAAACGAGGTAGAGGCGGAGCCTGGCTCTGAGCGTCTGCGGGTGT